CTATTTCACGTTTAAGTCGGAGGAAACTTATGTTGAAAGATATTTGCATTTAAGTTGCGTCTATTTGGAGGTGAAGGATGCGCACCCTATCTATTCTACATTCAAGTCGGAGGAAACTTGCGTTGATAGATATTTAAGTCACATCTATTTGGAGGTGAAGGATGCACACCTTATCTATTCCACGTTCAAGTCGAAGTAAACTTGCGTTGATAGATATTTGCATTTCAGTCGCATAAATTCGGAGGTGAAGGATATGCATCTTATCTTTTCCACGTTCAAGTCGGAGGAAACTTGCGTTAAAAGATATTTGCATTTAAGTCGCATTTATTCGGAGGTGAAGGATGTGCACCTTATCTATTCATCGTTCAAGTCGGAGGAAACTTGCGTTGAAAGATATTTGCATTTAAGTCACATCTATTTGGAGGTAAAGGATGTGCACCTTATCTTTTCCACGTTTAAGTCGGAGGAAACTTGCGTTGAAAGATATTTGCATTTAAGTCACATATATTCAGAGGTGAAGGATGTGCACCTTATCTATTCCACATTCAAGTCGGAGGAAACTTGCGTTGAAAGATATTTGCATTTAAGTCGCATTTATTCGGAGGTAAAGGATGTGCACCTTATCTATTCCACTTTCAAGTCAGAGAAAACTTGCGTTGAAGATATTTGCATTTAAGTCGCATCTATTCGGAGGTGAAGGATGTGCACCTTATCTATTCCACGTTCAAGTCGGAGGAGACTTGCGTTGAAAGATATTTGCATTTATATCGCATCTATTCGAAGGTGAAGGATGTGCACTTTATCTATTCCACATTCAAGTCGGAGGAGACTTGCATTGAAAGATATTTGCATTTAAGTCGCATCTATTCGGAGGTGAAGGATGTGCACTCTATCTATTCCATGTTCCAGTCGGAGAAGACTTGCGTTGAAAGATATTTGCATTTAAGTCGCATCTATTCGGATGTGAATGATCACCCTATCTATTCCACATTTAAGTCGGAGGAAACTTGCGTTGAAAGATATTTGCATTTAAGTCGCATTTATTTGGAGGTGAAGGATGTGCACCTTATCTATTCCACGTTTAAGTCGGAGGAAACTTGTGTTGAAAGATATTTGTATTTAAGTTGCGTCTATTTGGAGGTGAAGGATGTGCACCCTATCTATTCATTCGTGCTACCGATGGATCATTTTCATTCATCCTACCGATGAACATACATTCATATCCTATTGATGGATCATTTTTCATTCATCCTACCGATGGACATACATTTATATCCTATCGATGGATCATCTTCATTCGTCGTATCGTAAGAGATGCTATCTTTTTCTTTAATTTTGTCTCCAGTAATGAGTTTTATCTTTGTCATTTCAAGAGCATCCAAGAGGATGCATTCTCAATTGAGCAACATGTGCAGACTGCTTCAACAAGGAGGCAACACAATGTAGAACCTTTTGGAAGCAAGTCCAGGATCGACTTCCATCACATTCGCCACACATTTATATGAAGTTCATGTGTTCGGCCAAAATCGGATTTGTCAATTTTCATTGTCCATGATTTCTTTCATCAATCATATCCAACAAAAGGGACACTTGTAGGAATTGGAAGGTAGATATTTCATTTGTGTCAGTTTTTTGAATCTTAAAGGAGGTAGACTGACTATCTCTTTTAGCTTTTGTTTATTTTTTTATATTAGTCCTAGTTACCGATTTCTGTGTAAAATTTTGGTCTTCCTCTGCATTTGTTTTCTCAAGAAAAAGTACTACCATGTAAAATAGCCTAACCTATTGTCGTATTGGCAATAGTTGTTATGACTTGATCCACTTTTCAGTTGTTAAGCTTTACTAAGTGTTGTTTCTGATAAAAGAGAGAAGGAAGATTATGGACTGAAGTTTCTCTTACTGCATCTTGTTTGATTAGTGGGTTTTGAAGTCTGCAATTACAGCTCAAGATTTTCAATGTTGATAAAATTGAACAAACTTCTTACACCTTCCTTCTCCCAATGTAGATAAATTGAAACAAATATTCTTGTTGTTTCATTTGTTAAACCTTGATAATTTAGTTATCGTTGTTAAACAAATATGAACTAATGATAGTCGCACATTAGTTCAGATTTTGCACGGAAACAGAGAGCTAAATTAAAAGGTTCCAAACCCCCATTTCACCACACACCTTCATCCCATGAAATTCAGAAAATACTCATTCACGCTAAGATCATTTTCGAAAGTTCTACTCGCCCGAATTTGATTCCGTAAAGTCGTATGGGTTCCTTAATGTCTTAGCTATCTACTCATATGATCAAATTCATAATTTGATCTCCCGTTTGTTACCAGATTTCCCTAGACCTCACTGACTCCGATTTCGTCCAAATTTGGACTAGGTTGGGGAATTTCAAGATACTACCAAAAAGTTTTTCGGTCCAAAATTTTTCCCCGTTGGCTTTTCTATAACGACGGAAATCGATCGTTACAGTGTAATTTCCTTAAATCATTTCTTTTCCTTTCTTTTTTCTTTTACTTTTTTATTTCTTTATTTATTTCAAAAATTTAATTGTCATTAAATTTATAAAAAATGTATTTTTTTAATATATAAATAGAATTTGATTGGTCATTTTTTTGAATTCTTAGATTATTTCTTCTACTAAAGATCGATAACTATATGTTATAATACAGCTAAATGTATAAGAGGTGGTGTGACATCCTTCTTAGTCCACATATTTATTAATTTGTATCAATTTTATTTTTGATATTTTCTCTTATATTTTTCTTAAACTAATTGCTTAAAAATGAAGTTAATTTATCAAATTATGATAATTATTTGCATTCATTGCTCAATTAAAAAGAGAAAAAAACTCATTTAAGAGTAATAAAGTATGCATGAAATGTTTCAGTTTTTAATTATTTGTTTTATTTTCATTAGAGTAGAGTCTAAAAAAAAAAGTTATTTTGAAATTGCAAACGTGAAAACCCTTCACTTTTGTCATAATATTCATTTTCAACTTCTTTCACATGTATAAATGGTGAGTTCTATCAACCTCTTATATGCCTAAATACTACCTCTTATCAGTATGATCTTTTAGGTTATTTGCTATTAAGTTTTCTATTTTCGCTAATTAATTATTATTTTGTGATTTTGTTGGATGGTCCTTTTTATGAATATTATATTATTGTGCAAGTTTTTTTTTTCTATTTATACAACACATTTTTTTAAAAAAAATAATCTTGATTTATTAGCCTATCAAAATTTTGAAATGAAAACTTTATTTACAGTTGGTGATATGTACAATATTAGATTAAAAAAAGTGACCTTGAAATTAGATTAAATGAATGTCAGAAAAAAGATATATGAAACAACAAATCAATTAATTTGATGTTGGTAAGCAAATTAATAATTAGTCCATACTAGGTCATTCATAGCATTATTATACTTTTAGTTTTTTATTTTATTTTTCAATAAAAGTTGATAACCTACAAAATTCAAGCTTTATTCATATTGTATTATAGATTTAAAAGTAATCACTTTTAGATTGTTAAATTATTCTGATTCATTAATTTTCTATTTTTCTAACATCATATATTAAAAATATTATTTTCATTCTTATTTTCGATTATCACTAGACTATTATAACTTATGAATTTAAGAATTTTGGAAAAAAAAATCATATGAACTTGAAGTATTGCAAGTGTTATATTTCATGAATAGGTCTTTTATATTTATAAAAGGTTTATTTTAAATTATTGTTATAACGCGAAACACGAACAAATTTTTAAATAATAGGGAAAAGGGTCAAAAATACCCCTCAACTTTGGTTTATTGTTTGACTTTACCTTCGCCATTAAAATGAAGTTAATTTTACCCCTCCCGTTATTAATTTCACCAAAATTACCCCTCATTAGACGGAATCCCCAAAATTGACCCAAATTACCCAATTATTTTTTTTTTAAAACCTATTCCCTATTTTTAACCCAATGACCTGACCCCTCTAGGATAACCCGGTTAACCCAATGCCCTGTTGCCCATTCCCATTTACCCATTCTAACCATAGGGGAAAAGAGATAAACCAAAGACCTCTGGATTTCTTCTATCATTGCAGAAGAAGGCTTCTACGATCTGTAACTTCCATATCTTCATCTTCTTCATCTCCCCAATTGTACACAGATTCAATTACTAGAAGCAGTTGATCATCCAGATACCTCCGCAACAACATTGTCTCTTGACTTCCATCTATACTACCTTCCACTCCCTCACGTCGTCCTCGCCCATCGCTGCTTTCGCCGTCGAATCTCTCCTCCGATTTCCACGACGATCAACTGCGGCGGCGATAACACAGACGGTAGCAGATTTCAGCAGCATAAATGAAAGGAAAAGTAGCACAAAACAAAGGAAGAAGAAAAGGAGAGCAGAGAAAGAGACAAAAGTAGCGCCGAAAGCGGCGACGATTTAGCCAAGAGGTGAGAATCATCGTGGAACGGGAAATCGGAGATGGATTTTGAATTGTTGGGCGATTTTCATGTCGAATTGGGAGCAAGTTGTGGGAATAAGGGTTGTTGTTGTGGGAATGGGTAACATGGCATTGGGTTAATTGGGTTAATCGGGTTATCCTAGAGGGGTCGGGTCATTGGGTTAAAAATAGGGAATATGGTTTTTTTTTTTAAATTCGGGTAATTTGGGTCAATTTTGGGAATTCCGTCTAATGAGGGGTAGTTTTGGTGAAATTAGTAACGAAAAAGGTAAAATTAACTTTATTTTAACGGCAAGGGTAAAGTCAAACAATAGATCAAAGTTTGGGATATTTTTGACCCTTTTCCCTAAATAATATGAATGAAATTGTGGAAGTAGGGTGTTTGGTTGTTGAAGGCCAGTGGTATCCCTATCAATCAATACAATGAGAAGAATTAAGTAAACTACTCTCTCTCGTCACTGCCCCTTTTGCCACAACAACTGCCTCCGGTCTAGTCACTGCCAATTTGGCACAACATTTGCCTTCGCCATCGCCATTTTAATGGAACACAGTATGTCCAGTGAAGAGGAAATTGGGGATGAAGAGAAGCAGCTGAAAAACACTTCCTTTGATCTCAAAGATTACACCATTATTAAAGAAGGAGAAGCTGAGATTCTCATGCATGCTACAAATCAAGTCTTTTACAACAAAACTCAGGTCTTCTTTTTTGCTTTCCATTCAACATTTTAAGTAACTTCTCTGCTCGTATTGAAATGTAGGTAATTTTAGATTAAAAAAAGATTTCGTTATGTGCAAAACTAGGCCCTTTTATTGCTATTTTGGTATCTTCCGATTATCTTACTCTCATTGCCTTGAGTTAAGCTGTAAGATATTGCTCAACTTCAAAGATTTTCATTGAATTAAAATGCCTGGCATTGAGTACACTCTGAATTCAAACTGCCAGAATCAGCCAAACAATCACTTTATATAGAACGAGTTTTTGGCTAAAATCATCCCTCAACTATGACTCAATAAACATACTCTGGTACCGTGAAGAATATAGAAGAGAAGAAATTTGGAAAATATTGTTCTTGAGAGTCACCACAAAAAATTGATGAAAAAAAATGATAGTTGGGGCTAAATTGGTTTACTAGAAAATGGTAGTTGTGGCCTAGTGGTCAATGATGTGGTTGAGAATCCTGAGGTCTCATGTTCAAAACTCAGTGGAGACCAAAAACACTAGGTGATTATTTTCAACTGTTCTAGCCTTAGTGGACAGAGTTACATGGTACCTGCTGCTAGTGGGAGGTGACAAGTATCTCGTGGAATTAGTTGAGGTGCGCGTAAACTGGCCCAAACACTACGGTCATCAAAAAAGAAAAGTAAAAAAAGAAAAGAAAAAAGCATGATATTGGACAATCGCCGGAGATGGAGGGTGTTCCCGGACGGCCAATGGAAAGAAGAAGTAACACTATAATTATGAAGGAAATAAATCTTTGGCTCGGAAGTGGTGACATAAGGCTTGATATACACCGGTTGACAAAAGTTTCTTATCTTTACCAAGATCACAGAGGCTCTGATTCCATGTGAAAAATGAGAGAAAACAAGAAAGTAGGATCAACATTGATTGAAAAGAGGAGCGGCATTGGACACTCGAAAGAAGAGTAGCACCTATCATTGACAACAAGAAAAAAGGAAGAAGAAGCCGTTCACCTGGTAGGCAGTGTAAGTTCTCTGGGTTAGTAGGTAGAAGCTATTTGAGTCTATACCAATATTATGTTGTGTAAGAAATAAAGAGAAGAAGATATGTTTTGAAGAATTGATCATTGAGATAAACGAGAAGAAGATATGTTTTGCAGTATTGATCATTGACATTACAGTATAGGGTCTGTAATCTGTATATAGAAGTCTTAATCCAGTACAATAAGGTAAGCAATTATTCTCCTACTATTAAGTAGAGGATATGCTAACATACTGTTTCAACAATACTCTGCTAGTCAAATATAATGATTGACATGTTCCACAGTTACCAAAAATAAAATAAAATGCAATGATTCACACATAACTTCACTTTAACATAGATAATCCAAGACCGACATAATTGTGATTTGTTATATTCTTGGCACAAAATTAAATGCAATAAGAATCATCTTGTGGTAACATATTATGAAACATAACCCTCAGGGGTTGGCCTGCTGGCAATTGACTTGAGCCTTGGGGTTTGCTCCCTTTCAAAGTCTCAAGTTCGAAACCCACCAGGTGCAAACAATTTCTGAGGGCCATCGGACTGGGTAAAAACCTGAATTAACCGTGGTGCACTTGCGGGAAACTCCTTGCCGAGGGCCTGTGCACCCCCGGGATTAGTCGGGGCTCAAAGAGACTCGGACACCCGGTGCAAATCAAAAAAAAAAAAAAAAAAAAACATATTATGAAGCATAAAATATAGCATCCTGTAGCATCTAGGTGTGAGGAACATCTTATAGATCTCTATACTGTAACATATTCTGGGTCTTTATACTTAGTTCTTCTTGGGTATGTATACATTAACTTATTTTGGATCTTTATACTTTAACTGTTTCTTTAGTCTCTAGGTGTAGTATTCAAATATACTATAGCCACACTGGGGGCTTTGTGCAATGCACAATATCAAACATATTGTGGCCTTTCTGGGGCCACGTGACTTCACACGATATTATGTACACTATGGCCACTCTGGGGCCTCATGACTTTGCACGACATTAAATATGTTGTGGAACTATGGGGGCCTCGTGACTTTACACAACATCAAATATACTGTGGCCACTCTGGAGCCTCGTGACTTGACACGATATCAAATACACTATGGTCACTCTAGGGGTCTGTCTTTGCTACCATTTATAGGCAAATATCATATGCATACAAAGTTGAAATTCAGATGGCACTCATGGCCCATACTCATTTGTATCTTATCAGATTTTTAAGTTGTTTCAGTCATAATCTTCTTTGTACATAGCATCATGGCATGAAAGTATAAACCACATAAGACATTTAAGAGAGGCATCATTATTTCATCAATTAGCTAATCAATGGGGGCCTAGAAGACAATCTAATGCATAACCACACTTAGACTTCACCTTTCACATTATGGAAGGCGCTCTTAAAATTAGGCATGCTTGTCAATCAATAAAATTACATTCTTTTGTTATGTTTATCATACATTGTAAGTGATTCACTTGACATTCATGACACAAACATCTCAAGTAGAAGAACCGTGGACTTCTCATTCAGAGGGACTATGGACATCTCATTTAGAGGAACCATGGACATTTCAAATAGAGGAATTATGGACATCTACGTAGAGAGACATAAACATCTCATGTAGAGGAATACTAACATCTCATTTACAAGAATATACATCTGACTTATATGAATACTGACATCTCATTTACAAGAATTATACATCTCCTGTAGAGGAATTCTGGCATCGCATTTAGAGGAATATATACATCCACGTAAAGGAAAATTGATATCCCATTCAAAAGAATTATACATTTCATGTGTAGAGGAATACTGACATGTCATTTAGAGAAATATATACATCACATGTAGAGGAGTACTATCATCTCGTTCAGAGTCATTATACATCTCATGCAGAGTAATACTGACATCTCATTTAGAGGAATATCTACATCTCACATAGTTGAACACTATTATCTCAATTAGAGGAACTTATACATCTCATAGCAGAGGAACATGAACATCTCAAATAGAGGAACTTAGACATCTCGTAATAGAGGAACGTGAACGTCTCAAATGGAGGAACTTAAGCATCTCATAATAGAGGAACGTGAACCTCTCAAGTAGAAGGACTAAGACATCTCATAATAGAGGAACATTAACCTCTTAAGTAGAGGAACTTAAACATCTCATAATAGAGGAGAATGAATGTCTCGAATAGAGAAATTATAGACCATATAGAGTGATCATAAAAGCTTGACTCAATAGGAGCGACAATACCGGAATGGTGTGTGTAAGCATGAAGCATATAGCATGGTCACTCATGTTGTTCATCATTTAGGACCTCACAAACTCATATAAGAGAAACATTTAATTGAGAGGTCATGCCATAACAGTGGAAAAAGGATTTAGCATTACATAGCTCGATTCCAATCCATCGCGTATTAAGACGATCAAAACACTTCTCGCGGCTTTAATCTATAACAATAATGATAAGGAACTTATGTTAACAACTAAACATATGCTTAAGCCATTTAGGCATTTTGATGAACACTTGACGAGCGTAAAGCTCCAAAGTCCCTTCACAATAGTGTTTTACCACTCTTCTTCTTTCCTAGTGTTAGAGTGGGTAAAAGTCCCACATTGGTTGAGGAATGGATTGATGGTCTCCTTAAATGGACTTGGGCAATCCTCCCCTCATGAGCTAGTTTTTGGGGTTGAGTTACGCCTAGGTGCCATATCTTTACAGATTCATCCCTGTTTGGGCTCCCGGTCCACGCTCCAATTGGGCCTGGGTGTGAAAGGGGGTGTTAAAGTGGGTAAAATTCTCACATTGGTTGGGGAATGAACTGGTGGTCTCCTTATATGGACTTTGTTTTTTTTTTGAGATAAAGGTAGCTGTGTATTCACAAAAGGCTCATCATCAAATAAATGATGAGCATAGGTCACTTACAATCTCATCAGAGCATATCAAACTACCCTATGGGAGATTACAAATTACCTATAAAGTCAGCAAAAAGTTCTATATCCCCCATCATATCTTGTTTACACCAAAAGTACAAAAGACTAAGACAATTCATTCTAATTTTCTGGATGTTGTTTCTCATATCCACAAAGCATCTTCCGTTCCTTTCTTTCCATAGGGACCACCAGATGCAGGCTGGGATTAACTCCCTCCAATCTTCATTTGACTCTCTTCTTCCTATCTCCTTCCAGCTGTAGAACAAGTCCTTAGTGGACTTTGGAATTGCCCAGCATACACCAAGAAGACCAAGAAACATGTTCCACAAGCTTGTAGCTACTTTGCAATGAAGGAATAAGTGACTATTAACTTCTGCATCTTGATCACACATAAAGCATCTTGAGCATAATTGTTTGCCTTTCTTTTGAAGCACTTCATGTGTTAAGCAGGCCCTTTTGCACACTAACCAAGCAAAACATGAGATCTTCAATGGTATTTTTATCTTCCATATTAACTTCCATGGCCAGTTTCTGATCTGTGTTTGGCCAATATTGTATCTGTAGTAACATGACTTTACTGTAAACACACCTTTGCTTTGCCATCTCCAAATAGGCTTATCAGGTTCACTGGAGGTGCCTGGGAAAGCATTGAGGATCTGAAACAGATTAATGACCCTCTCGATTTCCCAATCATTGAAAGCTCTCCTGAATATGAGATTCCAACCCTGAGGGTTCCATAGCTGTGAGATTGTGGCCTTGTTTTGAGTGGCTTGGGCAATCCTCCCCTCATGAGCTAGCTTTTTGAGTTAGGCCAGGTGCCATATCTTTACACCTAGCTCACAACAACACAACAAAACTTTATGAGGCCAACCAAGTACCTCCCGCACCTTACAGCACATAAAACAACCCCTAACCATCTCAAACAAATAGCAAAACTTGGGCTTACGGCTTCTGATCACCGTCCTGCAACTCCTTACCGTAAAACATACTTTAAAACGCCAATACAGTTCATATACGAGAGTATGAGAAGAACAATACCTTGGTTGATGAAGATAACAACTTCTTTACTTGAATTCTCCCAGGAGAGAGCTTGTTCATAGAGTCCAAGAATGGATTGTGTGAATTTCCTGGCTAGAATGGAAGATTGAGCTAACTTCCAAGTTCAATTACTTTCCTTCGGCTTTGGAGAGTGGAAGGAGGAGAGAATTTGGGAGAAACATCTGCTAAGATCTTCCAAGAACACCCCAAATGAATTCCCAATGTTACCCTTCGGGGTGGCCCAGTGGTTTGAGTTTGGGACTTCCATGTTGGAGGTCTCAAGTTCGAAACCCCTTGCCAGCGAAAGCAAGGGGTTTGCCTTCTGGGTCGAGCTCGTCGCACCAGGCTTGCCTAGTGCGGGTTACCTCTCCTATGTGGTTTGCGAGCTATTGCATAGGAGCGGGGGTTTTACCTTGTGCGCACCCAAAGGGTAGCGGCTGCGGATTTCCCTTGTCATCAAAATAAATTAAAAAAAAATGAATTCCCAATGTTATAGCTTATAAAACAAACTCTGACTAACTTAAATCTTCAATGCACCACATGCATTTGTCAGTGCATTGCATGCTCCATCGCATGCATTTGGGTGCTGCATAGGTCTATAGTCAAATGCGCATAACCTTTTGTACTGAGGTCAGATTGACGAGCAGTTTGTTTCATTGAAACTAGTCTCAAAAAACTTTAATTTGATAGATAAGTCAACACTTGACTCTTTATATCTTGGGAGATATACTTATTTGAAGTTGGACTTTGTGTGAACTCATTCAGAACAATTGTTCGTAGTGTGACTTTCAACTCGAGTTAGTGCTAGATCTCTCTTTAGACCTTAAATCACTTCCAACAAGCTTAGTAAACGTATTATCATGACTATATGATGTGGTGCTAGTCCGTAGCTTCTCTTGGCAGATGAAAACATTATTTCTTTTTGTCAATCTCTTTTTGTCAATGTTGCACTTTGGAATCTTGAATCATTTTGAGCCTTATGTCTTGGTCCAACACAATAGTACACTGTATTTCTTGGTCTTTTGGCTTAGATACTACCTTATTCGCCAGAGTTCAATTAGATTTATCAACGCCGAATTAGTCGCACCTTAGCTTTGAGTTATGAGGTGTTACAAATAAACTCGGAGGGAGAGGGATGAGGACAAAGTTTGAAAGCACTCTCATATGAGCAACTTTTTGTATATTGGGAAGTCTCAACTCTCAAGTGAGGGATATAATGTATGGAACATCTATGACATTGAATCACTGATCTTCTGGTGTAACATGTGTGAGAGAGTAAGAAATTGGGAGAAATAGACATGGAGATGGCAAATCTTACAATCATTTTGTTAGGACACAAACTGGTAAGTGTTGTTTTTGTGGTCAGAAGCAAGAACACCTTGGTTGAGTTTTTATAGTGTTTTTTAGATACTTTCTAATGATGGTGGTATGGCACTTTTGTGGGCACCTTCACGAATCCACCAGTCAGCTTGCCAATATACAAGCTCAGATGTAGGGAAAACCTGTCTTGTTATGGTTGGAGCAGATGGACTCACGTTGAGTGTGCACCAGGTATTTGAACTTGAGATATCAGGTGGTTACTTCTCCTATACCTATGTCACTCAACCATCTCCTTGGGCATTAAATGATTTTTTTGCGTAAGTTGCGGTATTTATATAGTAATAAAAAACTATGTGTGTAATTGCTTTTCTGTTTTTGTATCTTCTTGATATGCTATTACATTTTAAGGAAGATTTGTGCTATAACCTTCAAGGGTTGTTGTAGCCACCACAATGGAGCTCATCTTTTTCACTTTGGGTTACCATGATCTGACAGTTAAAATTTATCAACACCAGGTGAACAACAGAGATATGTCTATTGCTGTTTTGAGGACCTTTATATCACAACGCAAGCTAGAGCACAAAGCAATGTTGGCCAGACAAGCTAAGGCTTGCCCTAAGGTACCAGATGAATCAGTTTCTGAAATGGAACCTCCAGCTGATTCTTCCCAGCATAATGGAATGTCCAGTGATGGGTGTAAACTCTTGGAAGAGATGTCCCAAGATGAACAATGTAGTATTTCAGATGTGCAAACCAGAAACCTAAGGCGAAAAGACCTAGAACTAAAGCCAGCACGAGTTCTTGAGGTTTCTTTGTCATTTCATGTTGATTGTTAGTCTTTCTGGTTATTGAATATGTCTTCTGGAAGACATACACTGTAGAAGTTTGCACTGATTGATCAACATTTGTCTTTCAATTTATTTAACAGGCTCTTTCAGCTTCTGGATTGAGGGCTTTAAGATATGCACGTGAAGTAGAAGGAATTGGTCAAGTTGTGGCCCTTGACAATGACAAAGGTGATTCCAACTCCGTTTATGTGGTGCAATTAGAATTAGAAAATCTCATTGTGCCCTGCCCACATTCCTTAACCAAAGGAGAGAAAATAAGAGGAAAAGCGAGAAGCAATTGTAGCATAGGATTGAAGAGATTGTGATACAGAAATAAAAATGTTTCAATGAATAGTTTCACAATGTCTAGCTTAATTGTGAGCGTCTGACTGGAATACATGTGTATTATGTTTTCAGAAACATGCTTAAATTTCCTCATTTAGTTCTAAATCCTAGAAAAGCTAATCTTGGTGGATACAACAAAGTGGATCCTGTAAAGTTTTAATATTTATGAGAAGATCACTATTTGTGAATTTAGAAGTATTGAAAGCATCTTATGTAGTCATTAAATGATAGATCCTTTTAGACTTGTCCGCAAGATGATATGTGTATCAAACTAAAATCTCAAGAGTTAAAATTTTGAACAGACATAAAGGTTGTTCTATCACCATTTGACTTTGTCATGTTTGTCATTAGAGTATTTCTTCTCTGTGCAGTCTCTGTTGAATCTTGCAGGAGAAACATAAGATTCAATGGTTCTGTGGCATGCTCAAAGCTGGAATCCCACCTTGCTGATGCTCGAGTTTATATGCTTACCCATCCCAAAGAATTTGATGTGGTAGGATTATACCCTTAACTATCATATTTTAACATTCTTCAATGGAAATGACCTTTTGCAGAGGTGCATCTAGTAATGGCCTATAACAAGTAAAACCTTTGTTGGGTACTGATAAACATGGAAAATTAATGCAGTATAGTTAGTTTCAAGTTTCTTAGTTAGCTTGTCTAATTTATCTTCAGAAATGAACTACCATTCTTATATTTCTGCTTACTGTTGTTGCAGGTTGATCTTGATCCTTATGGATCGCCATCTGTGTTCTTGGATTCTGCTGTTCAATCAGTTGTAGATGGGGGGATATTGATGTGTACTGCTACTGATTTGGCAGTGTTATGCGGGGGAAATGGAGAAGTATGCTATTCCAAGTAAATTCATATTCTCTTGCTTCTGGAATTATCTAATTTTATTCATCATGGAACATGTCTTACTTGATGTCATGCGCAACTAGATATGGCTCGTATCCATTGAGAGGGAAATATTGCCATGAAATGGCTTTGCGGATCCTTCTTGCCTGCATTGAGGTACGTGCTTTGTGGAAATTTTGTGTCTGTTATGAAGTTGGATGTCATGATATCTGGTGTCTCTCTGTGATTTCTATCATTATGTATAGTGTTCAAGATAACGTACCGTAGGATGTTGAAGTTACTCTAACAGAGAGAGAGGGAAGACCTGACACTTGAAAATTTCATGTACTAAATTAGGAGTACTCTCATTTTTAATTTCCTATATTCTACGGAAAAGGGAAAAAAATATCCCTGGACTATCCGAAAAGGTTTAAATATACCATTCATTTATTTGGCTAAAAATACTCCTTTAATTTTTATATCCATTGTTATTTCTGTTTTTTATTTCAGAACCATGCAAATCAGTACAAACCTTTTCGAATAGAGGGGTATTTTTAGCCAAATAGATGTATGAGGGATATATCTAAACCTTTTCCGATAGTCCAGAGGTATTTTTGGCCCTTTTCCGTATATTCTAAAACTGAACAGCAATTTTTGGCCTTCATAATTGTCAATTCATCACATTTAATTTTTATATTCATTGTTGTTTCTATTTTTATTCCAGAGCCATGCAAATCGGTACAAAAGATATATTGTTCCAGTATTATCTGTTCATATGGACTTCTATGTCCGTGTTTTTGTTCGTATCTATAGGTAAGTGTTTCTATTTTAGACTTAAACTGTTAGCCCAGTCTTGCTTAGGTTATTGTTGTACTCTTCTGATAGTCAAGTTAAAGATTTCAATATTTGTCTATAGTTCAGCAAGTGCTATGAGGAATACTCCTCTGAAGCTCTCATATGTGTATCAGTGTAACGGGTGCGATTCTTTCCATCTTCAGCCAGTCGGGAGGACTATCTCAAAGGTTTGTGTCCTATCCAAATCTCTGTTCTTCATTGTACAACTGGTTCTGCTGGACTGAGCTGCTCATTCTCTCCGAATGGCCTAGATATGTAGGTAATTTAGTGTAAAGAAGTTCCAAAAGATGTTCATAATATTCTTCATTCTTAACTTGTCTGTTCCAATTTATGTGAAGGTGTTTGCTAAGAATGAAAAAAAGACTATTGATACTTGTGGTCTAAAATAAACCAAAGAGATTTGTGTGACTATAGATCATCTCATTAAGATTAAAATGGGAAATTCAAAGTTAATGACAATGATATTGGAAAATGGAAAAACCTATGTAGGCAGTATAATCTGCAACTTCTCTAGTTGGAAATGTTCTAATTCTGCTATCTTCTAGGTTTCTTGGTCTATTGTGGACGATAAGAAATGATTGGTTGTCAGAATGATAGTTCATCTATTTATTGCAAGAAAGATGTAGGAAACCTGTAGCTGTTGTATGTGTGCAGTGTAGAAGGCATCTCCTTTTTCCTTTAGATCATGGGTTCCATTGGTAGAATTTGGTAACAATTAATCCTCACTAAACATTGTTTCAACGCGCATTTAAGTGGATAGCCACATCTTTATTGAATCTTTTCTGCTTTTTTAGAGTAACACCCTCAGATACCACCCTGGATTTGGCCCTGCTATTTCTCAAGATTGCAGTGATTGTGGTAAAAAATTCAATATGGGTGGACCCATATGGTCTGCACCCATCCATGATCAAGAATGGGTAGCTGCCATACTTGCTGATGTGAAATCTATGAAGGAACAGTATCCAGCGTATGATCGAATCTGTGCTATGTTGACAGCAGTTTCAGAGGTGTGGTTAATAGTTGATTTTCTCATTTCATTTCTGTTCATAACATTTCTATTTCTGTTTTCATAAGCTGTTTAACTTAAAGCTGATGAAAGAGCTTCTTGTAAACCTTTGGTAAATTGTTTTTAGTTCACTGTGTTTAACATCTTGATAATCAATCATGAACCCCCACTCCCTTTTTTTCCCCCATTTTTGAAACCACTAGGCCATCAATCTTTTGCTGTCATGCTCATTGCACAAAACTTTAAGGAAAGCTGGGGTGGGGAACTTCTGATCTGCTGGACTTCTTATTGGATGTGTAACTGATGAAGTGTACTTATTTGCAGGAATTACCTGATATTCCTCTATTTCTTAGTTTGCACAATATCTCTGCAACACTGAAATGCACTTCTCCCTCAGCAGTTATGTTTCGCTCTGCTGTAATCAATGCAGGATATCGTACATCAGGGACTCATGTGAATCCTTTGGGATTGAAAACAGATGCTCCTATGCATACCATTTGGGATATCATGCGTTGCTGGGTAACTGTTCCTTGTTCTGTCAGCTCTTGTTTTGTTGGCCTTGAAAATGAAAGAAGAAAAGAAAGGAAAAACCCTAAAGAAAAAGTAGCCATGAAGAATAAAGGAAAAGTAACTCGTAACATTTCATTGCAACTTGAAGTTTCTGTACAAAAAATTGACTTCTGTCAGGTTGTTTCTGTTGTAGAGCCTAATCTCATAATTATGAATAATCATTTGCTTGTTTTCATGTGAATAGTTTTTGTATTCTGTGTGAATGAAACAAGTACTAAAATTCTTTGTGCAGGTCAAAAATCATCCTGTGAAAGCTCAACCATCTCACCATCCTGGAACTGTGATTCTTTCCAAGGAACCTGTTCTGCAGGTGAGCTTTGACCTTACTATTCTAAAGCTAGCTAGGAGTATAGATAATGTCTAGCTTTGTATATTCTTAAGCTCCAACATTTGCAGCAATGGCTGGTTAATGGATTGAGACATTCCAATTTCTTGACTCTTGCTCAAATCTCCTGAGACTTTTGCTTCCCCAGAATTCAATGTCAGGCCATCATCTGAGTGCAGCATTACGAGAATTGCTACCTCAATTTTCCATACTTGTTACGAAGTTACCATGATTCAAATTTTGATTTTCTTTGATGACAATCTCGCCATCATTTACCCCTTAAGTGTGGCCAAAAGGAGGATTTTCAGGTGAATAACAACCTGTGCCTGTGCTGTGAGCAACTTAGCAACCTCCATGGATATACGTACACCAATTTACATGTGTCAACTTGTGTTGTAGCTCACTTGTTCTTTAATTCAAGAACATTATATTTTGATTCTTGGGGACGACACAGCTGATTTCTATTGTAATATGCTTACCAGTCTCGTTTCTGGAAGTTGCATCTCAGCATCATTTTCATTTCAGGCTAATTTTGCTCGGGCTGTTGAATCCCCTAACAAGGGAAAGGACAAGAAGGTTGCTCGTTTCCTTCCTAATCCCGAAAGGCATTGGGGCCCAAAACTCAGGGCAGGTCGCCAGATTACTGGTAAGCATGTGTCTCTTTTGGGTACCAAAGAAGTAAATATATTTAGCAACCCTGAGGATAGTGATAACTCTGCAGCCGTGTTTAGACGGCGAAAGGCAACAAGGGTCTGCCTTGCCACAAAGCGCTCACCTTTTTGAAGTGCGGCGCCAATTAATACCAAAAAATTAATGTATTTAATTGCATATATAAATAATCAAAATCTCAATAGCAATAACATATTAGCAAATATTTCAATTCAAAAACTGAAAATAGATGGTACATACTAAAAGTTTAGAACTTGAATGAGAAAAAAAACAGAACAAAAGTCAAAACAGTGAGGAAAAAAACAGAGGTAGAAGTACTCTAAAGTCTGAAGAAGAAGAAGGAAAAAGAAGTATGAAGAAGAAAAGAAGAAATGTGTATTGGTTAGTCTCTGGAGTCGCTGAAAAGTCTGTCTGGTTGCCGGAGAAGTCTAGTTGAGTTGACTGGTTGGAGTCGCAGTCTAAGAGTGCAACTGTGCAAATTTGCAAAGAGAACCCTAAAATTACCTTTTAACTTTTATAACCCTGAATTGGTCGCCTTTTTGTTAAGAAAATACAAAAGGTGAAGCCTTTCTGGCCATTGTCGCCATGGTGTTGCCTTTTCACAAAGCAAATAGGCAATGAAGGGTCATCTCGCCTCTCGCCATTGGTGACGAGGCGATCGCCTTTCACAACACTGGCCTGTAGGCAAGCGTAAGAAGACTGAAGATGCTGATTCATAAATTATGTTTTGGCCTTATGTCTTATCAAAACTACCCTGGAGCCAATTTTTATCTTCTCATAATCTGTTTCTTCTTCTGCATTTCCTTGCAGAGAGGATTCTGAAAATGCTTGTAGGAATTGGGAGGTAGATATTTTATCTGTGTCAGTTTTTTGAATCTTAAAGGAGGTAGACTGACTATCTCTTCTTTCTATTCCCCTTTATTAGCTTTTGTTTATTTTTTTATATTAGTCCTAGTTACCAATTTCTGTGTAAAATTTTGTTCTTCCTCTCCATTCGTTTTCTCAAGAAAAAGTACTACCATGTAAAATAGCCTAACCTAGTGTCGTACTGGCAATAGTTGTTATGACTTGATCCATTTTTCAGTTGTTAAGGTTCACTAAGTGTTGTTTCTGACAAAAGAGAGAAGGAAGATTACGGACTGAAGTTTCTCTTACTGCATCTTGTTTGGTTAGTCATTAGTGGGATTTGAAGTCTGCAATTACAGCTCAAGATTTTCAATGTTGATAAAATTGAAATAAACTTCTTACACCTTCCTTCTCCCAATGTAGATAAATTGAAACAAATATTCTTGTTTCATTTGTTAAACCTTGATAACTTAGTTATCGTTGTACTGTTCTCTGTGGTTTCTCTATGTAATTTCTGCTACAAGTAGTTCTACAGGGTATAGATTTAGTTAATTTCTTCTGGCATTTTGATCGCTAATATCAACATTCTGCTAGCAAAACGAAAGAGGATTTCGAGTAGGTAGAGGTGGGTGGGTAATGAAGACTGGAAATAGAGTAGATAATAATGAAGTGAAGTGTGTAAGAGATCTTGTTATAAAAGGGCAGTACATTTCACTAAGAGATCTTACCGTGTATTTACGCAAGAGGTTGTTTTCATGATCTGCTAGTCACCCAACGACAATTGAATAATAGGGAGGATGAAGCAGCAAATTCCTTGTTGTAACATTCAACTTTTATAACAAAGCAAAAGCATATGCCTCATTCTCATTACAAGTTTAAGACAGCTAGAAAGCTATATGGCCAATAGTAGTCTAGTAGAAAACAATATATATAGGAGTATCATCCCCTTATTGATTTTTGATATTTAAAGAATATAAATTGCAGAATTAGTTGTGTGATTTTCATTTGGAAGAATGTTTAGTAGGAGGGTTGAGTTCATCCCAAGCTTCAATCCAAGTGACCATTGCCTCTGAAAGCTTCAGAAAATAGGGGTCTATTGTGCCAAGTTTTTCTTTGACAAGCCTAGAAAGTTCAATATAGCATTTTTGCACAGAAGTAAACTCCTTTGAAAGAGTTAATGTCTGGAAAAATGGAATGATCTCTTCTTGCCAGAAAATTCCTTTGTATTCCTTCTTCAAGTTAACAAATGGATTGCTGGCTTTGCTGTGATAGATGTAGGGTAATCCAGTCTTGATTCCTAATCCCAAATGATCACATATTACCTGTAATATAAATTCTTTAATTAGCAATCAATCATTCAACTCCAGCTTCCAACTATAAAAAATACAATTACAACTACAAACCTTGCAGCACCAACCAGCCCACATATCATCATAACGTCCAATAGGCTGTCCATCTCCCATGAGTCCAAAGTACGTAGCTGGTCCAATAAGATCACGATCGAATGCAAGATTCATTCCACACATTGGGAAAAGGGTACCCTTTGGGATTGTCAATACCGTATCAACATACCTGTTCAATTTCTGAGTTCTATACACTTCCTTTTTCAATTCGTTTTAAAAGAGAATGTTTCTTTCTGGACAAACAAAATTCGTAACAAACCTAGTGTTCCTCTCAAGAGGTTTAACAAGCTGAGTAGGTGCATCATAATCAGGGATATTGAGCCATAGGCCATGGGAAGCTGCTGTTGGCACACCTTCACGAAGGCCGAAAGGGTATCCACGCACAAAATCAGCTCCATCTCTGAATGGTTCATACAATGTGTTGAAGAAAAAGGGAGTTGATGGGCACAAAAGGTTCTTTATGTGTTGTTCCAATGCGTTTATATCTTTTCCACTCGGATCCTTTGCAACCTATATTCATAAATCAAGTTATTGTTATAATACTCATGAACAAGTATTTGATCCTCCTATGTACTCCGAACCCCGCACCCAAGGATGTCGTGTAGTAGCCGGTCCGGTCAATGAAGTGGTTTGACATATCAAGTTCAAATCCCAGCAGAGACAAAAACACTAGTTGATTCGTCTCATCTGTCCTAGTCATGGTAGACAGAGTTACCTGGTATTTGTTGCTGGTGGGAGGTGGCATGTATCCCGTGGAATTAGTCGAGGTGCGTGAAAGTTGGTCCAAACACCATAGTCATAAAAAGGGCTAAATCTATGCCCTTCAACTTTGGGTGTGTGCAAGTATACGCTTAAACTTGTATGAAATTGAATAAGTAGACACACACGTCCTAAGTGACATTATACACGTGGGCGCCACATAGGACACACAATTGCCATGTAAGGGTCTATTTGTTCAATTTTATACAAGTGTCTATTTGGCACACCCAAAGTTAAATGACAGAGATGCCAATTGAAGCCAAGTTAAAAAAAACATGTTTATGTATTATGCATGTATGCTAAAAAAGATAGATACAATAGAAAAGAAGGGATGGGGTACTCACAAAGCAATCATCATCAATAGTGTAAATATACTTCTTCTTGGAAATCATGTAACCAAAGCAACGACAAGCAGAGTCCTTGAAAGAAATGCAAGATGCCTTAGGACCCAAAATCTTGTTTATGTCATTGCGATTATAGAGCTCATAATCAATGCCTCAGGGACCATGATGGTCTTTGACGGATCACCATCTTGTACAATAATAAGATGATATGGTTGAAAAAAGGGCCTCCACATTTCTAAAATATCTAAATTTCTAATTGTGGGTATCACAATGTCTAGTTCATCTTTCAAGGGAGGTGAAGTTGAGGCCATGGAATTGAATTTTGTGAAAATTAAGAGTGTTTTAGTTTAGTAAAGGAAAGAGAAATTTCATATAAATGGGGTGAGAGAGACTAAGAGAAAGAGTTTTTATATACAAGAAAAAAAAGACTTGTGTGGAGTGGAAAGTGTCAAAGGTGGGGTAGGGGACTTATTCAAACAAGTCGTTTCCCTAATATTCAGTGTTAGGGACATACCATGAAATTGGAACAATATAAAGAAAATTAATGTGATTACTATACATGGATAATATGTACAAATCAAGAAATGGTTGTTTATTGACAAAATAATAATAATTACAACAAAGTATGGTTATGCAAATAGACTAAGGTCTATTTGAGATTTTATTTCTTACTCCAAAGTGATGTCAACTAGTATGGCTTTTTTTTTTTTTAACTAACCGGACATAAAGCCCATTTAATAAAGAGAAATTTTAAGGAAAAATTACTAGAATACAGACACTTAGTTAACATATTCACAATATTTCCCTACTATTTAAAAAAAAAATACAAAAATCCCTATTTTCCCCACAAAACTAAACTACCGGATACATTATTTTGAAGAAGTCCAAACCCTTAGTTTCCCACCCCTAAATTTACTCCTCTAATTTCTCCACAAATTTTATTGTTCAAGAACCCACAACTCACGACTTCCACTCCAAAATTATCTCTGCCATATTCTCAACAGATTCATCACTCCAATTTTGAATTTCAAACTAATTTTGTCTCCATTCAACCAATTTCCGAGTTTGAAATAGGTAGTCTCTTCATCTTCAACTTTTTTTTTCATTTTTTTTATATTTTCTAATCCTTCATGGATCATCCGTCTTTTAGTATTGGGATTACCCAAATAGTCACACCAAACTCTAATCGAATCTTTGATTATGAAGATCCTAACTGGGCAGAAAACAAGTCTAAGAGCTTGCATGATCCTCTAACAATGGCTAAGCAAAGTTCCAAGAAGTCAAAAGCTAAAATGGAGGCACATGCAAAAACACCAAAGAAAAGGGGTAGAAAGGTTGCCCCTGCCATATCCAAATCTGCACTACCAACGGTATGTATTTTATTTTATTTTTCTTTTTTTGTAATTTTCTGTATTCACATGTTATGAGTTTTGTGTAATAGTAGATACATTATTGTTAATTAAAATTTATTATGTATATTGATTAAAATCTTCATTTGAGACACAAAATCCTAATTTTTGGTACATTTTGTTTATTTATTACGACTCATGTATCAAAAAGTTAAAATTTAAATAATAAGATAGAACTGTTGATATTTATTATTAATGTATCAAATGTTGGTTTTGTGTATCATTTATTCATTTTACCAGATAAAGCATTATTGGTCATTTTTTTGTTGTCAAAAGTGTATGAAAGTTTAAAGTTCATATTAGAGGATTACATGTATGTTGCTGAACAACATAATGTTCCATCATTTGGCTTATTGTTCATATTAAGTATCAATTTGACTGATTTATAATCTGTAGTTACAATTATGTATTAAGTATAATTTTACATTTTTATGTATCATCTTATAGCTTATTGTTTCTATTAAGTATCAACATCATTTTTTTGAATTGCAGAATATTAATTATGTAGTTAAACAGATTCCAAAACACTCCCTTAAGTTTGGCTCTACTTACCATACAAATTTCATAAGAGACTTAGTGTTGTCAATAGGGGATGAGGGTATCCAATTATTCAAGGATATTATATTTGGTCCATATGTGAATATTCCTAAATGCAATTATCAAGGTCAGATCACCAAGAGTTTACTTCTTTTAGAGGTGGAGCAGGACAATCCAGCCGGAGAACTTCATATTCGCCATGCTAAAGGAAATATCTTGAATTTTAGTATAAAAGAATTTGCGATTATTATTGGTTTGAAATGTATAGGAAATAGTAAAGATTTCCTGGGCCTAATTATAATGTAAACAAACAACGGCTGGTAGATCGATTCATAATGGGTGGTTGGGATAACATCGATGATGCCCTTCAGATGGCTATTATGTACTTCATTCATACTTTTGTATTATCTCAACTTGGTACTGCAACAATTCCAATTGAAGATTTCTTAATGGTTGAAGACGACAGTTATCAGCAGTTTCCGTGGTGACAACGGGCCTTCACAAGGTTAATGAATTCACTTAGACAAGAGTTCAAATCTGAGAAACAAATGTATCGCTTAAATGGTATGCCATACA